ACGCATATCTGTCCAAATCATCAACCAACTAACACGACAACTCTCCGCCACGCTATGTAACAAAGCACACTTCCCACCCACAGCAAGTTTGTTGACACTACAACAAGGCTAACTTTGAGGCGTATAACCTTGTCCTAGATAGTCTACCCGTACGTGGTACGTCTCTTCAAAAGAAATGGAGCGGTTGATGAAATATGTGTGTTTTGTTATTCTGCACTTTGGCTATAAATATTGACTTATACAGTCAAGGTTGTAAGCACACCTCCATAGAATTTCTGCTATATTTCTATGATGCTCTTTGATGTCTATTATATAAATTAGATCGTCATTCTACTGAGATATTAAACGTGTTTCTGTTTCTATTTATTATATCATTTATGGATGAAAGAAATCAAGCTAGACTTTTCTATCAAAGAATCGGAAAGAAAGAGAACGTCACTATTCGATCTAGCCTGGGTGCCAGACTGTTTCCAGGGCCAGCACAGGCCAGTTCCTCGGCTCCAGGGCCAACATGCCCCCAAGGAAATCATACCACAGTCCCCCTCAGTTAGACCCTGATCTAACTCATGATCAGGGCCTACCCTGGGTCTGGTATCCAGGCTACTTTACGATTATACTTTACAGCAACTACAGACCTGATCACGGCGTTTCTATTCGAATTAGATGTTCTTTTCCCCCAAAATGAGACTACTGAAATTTTTCATTACCTCGCGAGCTCGCTTCCATGAGGTCAAGGCCATATGCACTTACTTTTTATACGTGGGATTTTTTTATAAGCACAGATTTTCCAAAACAAATGACACATGCAACTTCCACCACTAAGACTTCCAATAATTTAACCTTTTGCACCTTGCTAACACGTGATTAAGATAGATTTCATCTTATTTCATGCACAATATATTTGATACGGGTTCTGGTTCTGAATATTTTCATAATACTGCCAGAAACAAAGCCGCTTATATCTAGCAGGTAGGAGAAAGTCGGATCATATTTCCAAACGCTCGGCGGGTTTCCCGCAAACGATATGTCCTGTGGGTCGGCAGGACAGCTATGGGTCAACACGGGTTAATATGAAATAAATTGGACCGTTTGTAGGTAATCCTGTAGGTTTTCTTTACATTTGCTGAGGCAATATCATAGCGTGTCGATAAACATGGTTTTAGATAGGAAAGACTGGGCAGTGTACTCTCCAAGCAGAGGTTTGGGTTTGGGGGGTATTTTTAGCGTGTTTTTAGGCTTTTTTATCGGGGTTTCTCTTTTGCACTGAATTTTCTTTCATAAAAAATTTCTTTCAAAAAAATTCAGTGCAAAAGAGAAACCCCGATAAAAAAGCCTAAAAACACGCTAAAAATACCCCCAAAACCCAAACCTCTGCTTGGAGAGTATGGGCAGTGGTTTTGAGTCCGACCTTGCATCTGCTTGGAGATTTTAAAAGCCACCATCTTGCTTGAAATTAGCTTAGTTTTACGTCCGCTTCGATAGTCACAGCCTAACAACCAACGAGACGGCAGAAATAAACGTGGCGATTTTTCTAGCCTCTACCAGGCTTTAGAAGCGGAAGAAAAGAGTAGAAATTGGCCAAATAGACAGATATTATAGAAATTATTGCACGACAATTGCACATGGTACAATGTATGGCAAACTACAGAAAGAGGGTAACAACAATAGATATTAAAGTTTAAACATGCCAGGGGAGTTTGTCCACCAAAGGAGTACAGTTTGCCGCTCCCTATGGCCGATTTCTACTTTATCCAGCCGCTTCTGAGGCCTGGTAGGGGCTTTTTTTTTCTTCCATCTGCTTGGGATCACTAAAGTTTAGAGCTAGACTAGCCCATAGTCAAGTCTATCTTTCTCCCGTTCAAAATACGGAAGATCCTTCAACAGAATACATTCACTCCCTGAAACAGTTTATACAGGCGCTGCAACTTCCGCCCTCCCCCATTTTTGCCCCCATTTCTCTTTCTTTCTTTTTATCTAATCCTGTCTGTTCCAGCTGTTTAGTGAACTCAGCTCTCTCCCCCACTGCGCCAAACTACCCGGAACAATTCTGTGGGAAGTTCTCCTGGGACATACATGTGTATGATAGCGCACCGCCCCCCTCCCCCGCCTCTCGGCCATGTGTTTTTACTAGAGGGGGTACCCGATAATTGATAATTACCCTCCATGAAAATGGGGGTACTGTTTTTACTCCGTTTCATGTTTGGTCTGATATCTGAAGATCGGTGAGAAGGAACTGTACGATATTTGGCAGATTGATGGATGGGGCCTTGGAGATTGTGTAGGTTGACTTTGAGCCCCTGGTGATTGAACTTGGTACTGCAGTTTAATTTTTTCATTCTGTTGTTTTCGCGTTATGGACTGTTTGTGCGATATTAAGGTAGCATGTAGTTGTTATTATTATGGTTTAGTGGTTTAAATTTGAGTTTCCTAGCTGTTTGCGTTTGATATTTACAAAATGTTTAATGTTGGACTTTTTGTGTTGAATGTTTGGAAAATCTGGGGGATGGTTTGGTATGATTTTTGGTATGTGGGTAGTTGTTGAGTCTCTTTGTGTTTTGGAGTGCATTAGCAGGTTGTCGCATATTTTTATTGCTTAATTTAAAAGGATTTTCACTTTTTCACCCCTACTTCATAATAGGATGGTCTGTTTGACCTAAAAGTTGGGACAGAGTTGTTTTTGTTTATACCTCCAGCTGGCAGGTCAGACCCAGGCAGCCCTATCTATTTTTACCCCTAGACAGTCTGCAGGAAAATAATCTTGTTTGTCTGGTCTGCAGGTCATTTGCCAGTGTCTGGTCATTGACCTACATGTACAGGCAAATGTAGCCTGGGTACCATCCCCAGTAGTATATTCGCAAACTCTATAACAGTTATAGAGTTTGCGAATATACTACTGGGGATGGTACCCAGGCTAAGGCAAATGACCTGCTGGCCATCAAAGTAAACAAACCATGGTAACAAGACACGAAACGCCTGCACATGACAGCTTGATGAAAGTGCCACCACAAATCATTCTGCTGATAAAAACAAAGTTTGACTCATAATATCTCTTTTGAAATACACCAAAAGATTACAAAACTAGAGGTCGGAGATCTCATGTCTTCGTCAGAGGTACATCGTTCTAGAGAAATTAACATGCGTATTCTTCAATCTTTTTAATAATCAATTTGGTCTAAAGAACAAAAGAATCTCTGTACTATTTTTATGGTACAGAACACCCTGAAACGGTTTGCCGCAGATTATACAGATGCGTCGTCACCCGTGTTAACCCCCCCCCCCTACGTTATTTGAGTTTGGACTGTTACTGGAAAAAAACGTTCAAGAAATTCTTACTGTGTTGAAAGTGTCACAACAGCGCCGCAAAATATAATAAGAGAAGATGTTATAAAGGAAAGAATCAGAACAGGGTGACTACTGCTGTTTTGTTAATTTGTCTTTATGACAAAAAGAAGACTTGTTTCTTGTGTTCTTTGTGTCCTAACATTTGTACTTCTACAGTTAGTATATTCCAAATCTAGGCATCTCGTTTTTCGGCCCTTCGTGTTTTTATTGCGCGCTTGCCTTAAATTTAAGGTAATTAGATTTAAGGTCTCCAGTGGACGTCATCCATAGCAATTACTTGGTGTGGCCGTAGAAAATAACCTGACATATGTCCAACCTATCCTCCCCCTGCTGAAGTTATAGTACAATCCCTCAATGTAACGTCATTTGATCCCATCCCATTATGGGGTTCCCCGCTATCCAGCTGTCGGCTGTCTCCAAGCAGATGTAGGTGGGGGATTTCTAAACACAAAAGGTCCTATTACGGGGACATAACGACCTCCACGACTCTCATCTTTGAACTCAATCTTGGAGACTACGACAGTAATATGCCTATCAAATTTCATTAACTTCCATCCATACATACAAAAGTTATCCTGCTCACAAGAAAAATTAACAAAATGCCCCCTGTAGTCACAACGAAACCCCCCACGAAGCTCAGTAACGAACTTAACCTTGGTCCCAACAATAGTAAGCACCACACCAAGAATTATAATCAACATTTTACAAATACTTGAGTTATCTTGCTAACAAGCCACAAACACAAAAGGTGCACTAACGTGACGCACAGACCCCCCACGAAGCCAAAACTTGTACTTGACTTTGGCCTTAACAGCGGTAATCTGCCTGCCAAAAATCATGGACGTCGAATCATGTCTTCCAGAGTTATATCGCGAAATCCGCAGTTCCCCACACTCCGGCGAGACAATTTCATAGTCCTTCTGACGAAGACAATAACAAGCTATTTCATGGAGGGATGATGTCTACGACTTCTCCTTGTTGAAGACAAATTTGGCTCCCCTTAGGGAGATCATCTGCAAGACATTTCGGAAACGATTTTTCTTGTTCAGTACTGCAAAGCTACGTAGCAAGGTAACGCATCAGAATGTTCAATGAGCGCATCGATATGTGTAGTTTTGTGATTTGCACAGCAAGGTCATTACGTCAGGTCAAGAACACCTAACTCCAAGCAGATGTTTGGGGAGGCTACATCGTTAATCATGTTTTTCCCAGCTGCCATTTTCTGTGAAACAAATCCCCCGTCCTTATTTTCTCACAGAAAATGGCAGCTGTAGGAAAACATAACGAGTAGCATCCCCCAAACATCTGCTTGGAGATTAAACAAACAAACGTCGTTCAGCCCCCATAGTTTACCGTTGCACGAGAACACAGGATAGGACATGTGCATAATTCAATCAAACGTTAGCCAATGACATTTCTGTATGCGTTCACGGGCCATGTACGAATTTTGGAAGGTTGGTAGTTATAGCGATGGTAAATGTAAATTATTCCTTTTGCCAACAATTTTCAAATTGACAAGGATCTATTAGGACAGAACTATTTTCAGCTAGAAGACATCTAAATATTGCACGACACATACACAACTATCTCAAGAACATTCTTTTGCGATCGTACGACGTTCGTACGACTGGAGGAAAACAAAAGTGGATTGTACTAACCTGTTCGTCCGCGGAGATGGCGACCCCGCGCAGAGCGCCGGCGCTGGCTGCAGTCGGGAAGCCCCTCGCCCCCTTCAGGACCACCAACAGGCCCACAAGTCCCGTGGTCAGGAGGACGGGTAGACTCAAAGTAGCCACCCCACCTCCAGGCAGCAGCGAAGTTCTAGTTGTACACATTTTCCTCTTCTTCTTCTAGTGATTGTCAGCGCGCAAGCGGTTACGAGTTCGAATCCCAAACGTCCTACTCTGTAGTCTTCAGGCAAAACGCACTCTAGTAGCAGCGAGTTTTTTCCTCTCACACAGATTCTCTCTGAAGACTGTACGTAGTTTCTTCAGCTTGCAGTGTTCAGACGTCGGCTTGCTGCAAGACCGTTTCACTCCATTATCTGTGGGGAAAGTTAAATAAATATTCAGCACCGTACAAGTTTATACAGCACACACACAGACGTACGCCGCGCTAAGGGGAGCCCAACAACCCGTGTCCAGCGCCGGTTCCAAACAAAACACAGCGCCCGAGATTAACCAAACGAGAGAGCGAAGTTAGACCAGACCTCCTATGGGGAACAAATCCTTGTGTTCTTGGCCGACTAAAACTCCAAAGCTGCGCGATACAAGGCTTGCAGTGGAAGTGTTGTATTACCCGCTGTAACGAAGTGGGGTACTTCGGCCTGCCCGGGTCAGTTTGGTTATGGTAGCGCACGCGAGACTGCCAGACAAGCTTGAAGCCGTGCCAAGAACTAGTAAGGCAAGAACAGAGGAGCGACAGGGGTCTGCCCTCAAACAAAGTGCTGATAGGTGACGTAATGGACCAATCAGCTGGCCAGGGGGGATTCCGACTCGTCCACTATAGGTCGAAGGGTGGTGTAGGGGGTTGCTGAGAGAACAGCGAAAGATCGTCTGATAACTAGCTACAGTCCTGGAAATCAATGAATGAAAGACCTTTATTGTACATTTATGCTCCAACAAGCTAAGTACAGGTCATGAATAGACAAGGAAAAGGATACAGCAATGACACTTAAACTACTAGTATACATACTAATGTGGTCTACTATGTACATGTTCGACTTCTTCTCGCTTCTTGACGCAGTTATAGATGTACGAGCATATGGAACCAATAATACATGATTTGTCAAGTTTCATAAGAAATCTGAATTTTTATACTTCATTTAAATGTCCAAAGCTGGGGAACTTATCTAGTATATAAGAATATAGGGAATCTCTCTCATTACTACGTACAATCGACTACAAAATGATACTCATCCTCAATCTTATCAATGTGTAGATTTAGACACAAATTGTCACAATACACCCTTTCTAAACTATAGGGAACATGTATCAGATAGATTTAAATCAGTTTGAAGAACATGCCTTTTCTTCGTCATCGTTATTTTTTCTATAAGGCGTCACCCACCCCCCGTTGGTCCTGATAATGGTACGTCCCTTCATTAGTAGCTGAGCTGCAGACCGCTTCCCGACCAGACGGTCTTGGTGATCTACAAAGGGGGACGGTAATACAAGCCGCCGTACCCTCAGGGTTATACCATCAGTGCCGCTAATACTGTAGTCTAGATGCCAGAGGGAAGAAACATATGTCCTTACACGAAGTTAGCCAGCGTGCGAGCGTTTTAAGTCAGGGGGGGCTGTGGAAAAACTTCCTTGGGGGCATGTTGGTCCTAGAGCCGAGGAGCTGGCTTGTGTATGCCCTGGAAACAGTCTAGTATCCAGGCTACTAAAACCGTCCAGTAAGCGATTTCTGGAGGGAAACAAGGCACGGAAAGGCATTCCAGGTCTTTCTCTACTTTCAACCATTTCCGTCAACTTTAAGACCAGCTTTCTATTATCTGACACTTTAAGAAATGTTAGTTTGATGCTTGAAATTTGAAAGATGTTCATAGCTTTCGAATTCAGTCAGCTTCTTAAGTAGCAGACGGAATCTTATTTATTTTGGGAATTTTAAACCCCTCCAAGAAAAAGGTCTTTGACCGATGATTGGCAGGATTTTAGACCGTAGACATATTTGGGTCAGCATCAAACTAGCTGGAAACTAGTCCAGCAATTACTGACAACAGTAATATCAAGATGTTATGTACTTTTCCACCTTGGCAAAATGTAGGTAGGAAATTTGGTTTGTCCGTTGCTCATTTCAGTTACGTACTGTCCCTGAAATCATATAAGACACATGTACATCCCTTCCACCTTGAAAAAATAGAACACCCCACTGTTCCAATAAGACAGTCTTTATTCCTTTCGCCCCTTGCGTTCTGAGCGCAACCACCAATTACCAATTTGTGATTATTCAAAATTACAATAAATGACAAATGCAGCTCTTTCCTGTTGGTGTAATTATTTTCCTGTGGTCAAGTCGTAAAATCCCTACTGTGTAGGACGCTGTTACTGATGTGATCTAAAAGCCTATGTTTATTCGTTTGCTTATTCATTTATTCATTATCTTACAATATTTGTAATTCTGAAATGGTGTGAGATAAGGATCCGTAACAAGACAGCTAAAGTTTGTACGGCACATCACACGAATGTCGGTCACCGTCCTAAAAATGTCGTACGTTTGCGATCGTTCGACGATCGTACGACGTTTGTCACCGGGCCCTTACAAATTGAATCTTTAAAAAGTTGCATTGTAACAAGACAGCTAAACTTTGTACGACACATTGTACGACTGTCCTAAGAAAGTCTTGCGTTTGTGATCGTACGACGATAGTACGACGAATACCGGCTCCTTACAATGTTTTAAAAAGTTGTAACATGACAGCTAAATTTTGTACGACACATTGTACGACTGTCCTAAGAAAGTCTTACGTTTGCAATCGTACGACGATCGTGCGACTTATATGTGACAGTCCCCTTACAAAGCTTTGAAAATTGTGGCGCCGTTTTGACTCGTACATGCGTACGTACGGACAACCGAGTCCCGGCAATTGTTAGTCGCCTGCATGGCTCTTTAGCCAAGAACAGGTTGGACGAGTTGGTCGCCGCCTTTTCATTCATCGCTGAACTTTTTTCTGCCAGACATACTCACCTTCGGTTTCCGGAAATGTCAACAGACACATTATGAGTCAGTCATAGTAGCCTCCACCAGGCCTTTGTACGGGAATACGGATCGTAGAATTCGGCAAAAAAAGATAGTAAAATTGGCCAAGGGAGTCCGGCCGCGGGGAGGTAGTTTCTTTCCCTCCGAAGGCGGCCAGTCAAACCTACAAGGCGGCCAAACTCCCCTGGCAAATATTCTCCTATATATAGTCAGCGTAGTTAGTCTGGTAGAGACTACAGTCATAGTGTGACTGGGGTATCTAGAACCGGAGATGTATATTGGAACACACACAGTTAACACTGTCATATGGTTTACTGCTGTGGTTTTCAGATCGGAAGCGATAGCGACATTATAACAAGAAGGGATATGAGTAGAACATAGTCAGAGAGTTATGAACACTTCAATGCTATGGTGGGGCTCCAAGCAGACGTTAGGCTTGCTTTGGACGTTTTGTGGGTAATTTTGGCGTTTTGTTGGGTTTTCTAATTTTTCATATTTCTTCAGTGTACTAGCATATACTGACAAAATAGAAGGTTCGAAGAAACGCCTGAAATCACCTTCAAAAACGCGTCCAAAACAAGCCTAACATCTGCTTGGAGGGTAGGGTGGTACGTTATTGAAAACTAACTCCATGCCATATACAAATATACAAATGTAATATAATATGGTAATGTACGGACCAGTAGATGTATTTAAGGGACTAGAAATTCTCAGGAAATAAAAATATAGATAAGAATAATATATATCAAAGTCACAAGAGTCACAGATGTATATACGACACAGACAATAGGCTAAAGTACGAATTGCACGATCATTAATTTTCACGTTTGTTTTGTACAGATGTTGACCAAAAAAACACTTGTTTGTTTGTTTGCTTGTTTGTTTGTTTGTTTGTTTGTTTGTTTTGATGCAGTTTGGGTACAAATTCACGAGCTGTATACTAACATGCAATGTATACTCAAACATACGCCGGTACAATGTGCCGTCGCGAACCAAAACAAACGTACATTGTACTAACAGATAGCTATGTACAATTTTGAACCCAAATCAAACTGTTGACAACAACCATGCTACCATGGACCCTGACATATCCCTAACCTCCCTACAGACCACACAGTAAAGCCATAACAGTGTCAAATTGCTTACCTTAGTCCGCACACGCACAAACACGTACATGTAAGTACATGTAGTTCCTTCAAGTAAAAATGCCCGGTGTCTACCTGCACGTTTTGTGTTGGACTAAACTTGTCTGACAAGAACGCAACTCACTGTCTGCTAATTTCGGGGCAGATTAACCCATGGCCTTTTCTCAGGTAAGAATCATCAGACTAGTTCAGCCACATTAGCGACACAAAGTCATCTTGTAGATCACACCAATTGGCCAATACTACAATGCTGTATATGAGATACGAGAATCAATATATCACGGATATGCCTTAATTTTGCTTTACTATGCATACATTCAGGGGTGCCAGAGTGTACAGTGCACTGTATACTGTACTAATATAATAATACGATTGCACTGTCTTCCGTAAAATTGCACTGTATACTAATACTATTGCACTGTATTCCGTAAAATTGCACTGTATTCCGTAAAATTGCACTGTATTCCGTAAAATTGCACTGTATTCTGTAAAATTGCCACTAAGGTGGTATATCGACATTTCCGAACGTTCCCCTCTATGTGCTGGTCAGCTAGAACGAAACTGACCACCTAATCTTCCACTTGTCCAGTGATTGGCATGCCCACTGGACGTCAAATCACTGTTCTGACCTCTGACCTCACTCACAATACCGTCAATTAACTGGAACTCTTCCAGCACAATGCACGGACAAATAGACTCAAATCCCAGATCCTATAGTCCTTTCTAGTAATCTACCTGTCTTTAGTAATCTGCCTATGCTTTAGATGTCAGAGCTTGGACAATATCTTTTCTTCCGACAGAGATATTTGAGCCAAACGTCAATTTAAAGGTTGAGAGATTTTTAATAAATGACGGATAATCGGTTTCATTGACAGGCATATTACGTACTTTAGTTAGTTAATGGTCTTCCGATCGCCTTTTAATGAGCATATTAGGCTATAAGCTTGATTTAGAATAACATTCAACAAGCGTGCATTTGCATCAGGGGGTCAGGGGTTCGAATCCAAGCCTTCTTCGTCCCTTGGACGCAATCGTGCGACAATCGTACGACGATCGTACGACTTATGTGACCGGACGCTATAATATGGTACTTCCTTCATAAGATTAGAATACAAGTGCGGCACTTCGACGTATCAACTACGCTTTTTCACACCTTTTTCACAATTTTTATGTACCATATATAGATGGTGTGGTTTAGAATCATCTACTTGGAACGGTACGGAAGCATTGCTCGTGGTTTATACAGTATCAGCTTCCTGTGAACCACTGGAGAGTTGGCTCAAGAGCTACTTGGAACTCGTTCAAGTTTGGCGTGGCTTGACACCAAGCACTTGATAGAAACAATAAACCTTTGACTTTTACACTGCCAGTTGTTGGCAGTTATATCTTCCTGTTGGACTGTTTCCAACGGGTTTCCAGGGAGCCAATTCAAGTACTGTAATCATCTGTATACGAGGGACTCCTGGGGAGCATCCTGAAATATTACCGACTCTACACATTGGAACTTTTCCAGTCACTCCTATTTTTGGCTCTAGCCGGAGGGGGAATCCCTCGGACACGGGATTACGTCATT